CGCTCCCTCCCGTCCACTCAATTCGATATGATATCCTGAAACAAACAACAGAAGGGTTGCTGAGCGAGGCTTGCAGGCAAACAAATCAAAAAAGAACAGGCCGTGAATCTCGTGACGACGCAGCGAAGAAGACAACAGCATGGAACTCTGTGCGTGGAACAGCCAATTTACTGAAGGTTTGGTGAGTCGAAGGATGTGGGGGGCAATGACTCACTCTCCTGAGGCTGATGAAGTTCCGTGGCCAGCCCCTTCATGAAAAAGCCGCCTGCATCATTCCCCTTCTCTCCCCCCACTTTGTCGGAACTGGCCCCAAAATGGCCAGTTGTCCTTTTGTTTTTTTTTGAAAAACCACCAAAACCGGGTACCCCAAAGAAGGACAGACGATACAGACCCATTTGGCGACCCGGCCCAGGTTCCGGAGTCGGAAGCAAAGGAACCCCACCTCTTCTCAGCAACGTGCCTCACAGCCTCACCGCTCCCCCTCCACATGCCCGAGCCCCCCGGCCATGATGAGAGGCCCTAGCGCCCGATGAACCTCCTTGCCATCCTGCGAGTGACTCCGCACGGCCGGGAGCGCCCGTCGCACGGCGAAATGCTCCAAAGACCCGCGCATCAAGAAAAGAAAGCCAAACCAACGTTCGACCCTTTTGGGTTGGGGCACTGACTAACATGGCGCCTGAGAGGGACATTGATCCTGTCAAATGGATGATTCCCCAGATACCGGTTGGCCATGAGGGTTGGAGCACTAACATGGCGCCTGAGAGGGAAATGATCCTGTCAAGAGGAAAGTTTGACCTCCAGGTACCAAAATCCGATGGCTTACTCCCGTTGGACCTTTGTTCAGCCACATGAAAGAGGGGTGTGGGGGTGTGGGGGTGTGGGGGTGTGGGGGTGTGGGAGTGTGGGGGTGTGGGGGTGTGGGGGTGTGGGGGTGTGGGGGTGTGGGGGTGTGGGGGTGTGGGGGTGTGGGGGGGTGTGGGGGTGTGGGGGTGTGGTGGTGTGGGGATGTGGGGGTGTGGGGGTGCACATGGGAAAGCAAGCTGTGGCAGCAAGAAAGAGAAAGGGCGCCCGAAACAAGGAATCACTTTACAGGAGTTACCTTACTTTCAATGATCCCCACCTAGTAAGACACACCACGCGATTATTATTTTTTTCCGCACTGCCGTGCTCAATATCCCCTGTGAAGATGGTCCAGCTCTACGGCAGCTGGATGAGCAGAAGCTAGAGACTATGGCCGGGGCCTCAGGCTCTGGGCTGTGGCTGTCCGTCACAAGCGGTCACATCTGGGTATGGCTCAAAAAACCGGTACCAAAATGGAACCCTGGTAAGTGGAAACATTGACCAAAACCTGCGTAGCCCTAGCTCTTTAATTTTGAGCCACTGCCATCTGTCTGCAGGCTCTGTCGCGGCCGGTCCTTTGGGGCCCATGCCAGCCGATCGATGCGGCAAACACAAAGTAAAAGACGGTTAAGGTTTTTTGGGTCAAACAGAGCAACCAAAAAACACCAGAGGCGAGTCCGTCCCCCGTTGCTCCGAGATGTCCTCAATGCGGGTCTCGTACCCGGTGAGGAGGATCAGGTTCCTGCTCTTCTTCTTTTTTGCTGCGAGGTGTGACCTTGCCTTCAAAAAGGGACCCAACCAAAAATGGACGCCTTGAAGTGATTGGGCGGCTTCGCCACAAAGCTTGAAGTGGTTGGTCCAGCACGTGGATGGTGAGGTTTCGGGCAGTTCATGCTTTCAACTTGTGTGGGACAAACTTTCCGGTTGCTCCTAAATAAGGATCCTGCAACCCCTACAATATCGCCCCGTGACCAAGTCGAGACCCTCATCGACCTCATATGCGTGTGAAAGCTGCTTGTGCTTTTGGATTTCCTGTGAAAACCACAAGCAGTTGGCAAAATATGTTTAGATTCAAGAAGGGATTTCGAAGATAGTTTCGCCAAACTGAAATTGTTCATGAAAATTTAGGAATGGGAATTATAGCTGGAATAAACCGTGCGAGTTTGCGTCCAGCGTAACTGGTCCTCCTGCCGTCGTTTCCACTCAGAGCCGACCGAGCCTCAGCTGGTCAAAGCACCAGAGCTGCCCGCTGATGATGCGCCCGTCCTCGATGTGGGCGCGCACCTTACGATTCGCGGCCGTATCCAAAAGAAGAGACCAAACAGTCGAATGCCCTCCCGGCATGGCTGAGACTTGAGAGTTCATCAGGGTACTGTCCGGAGAATGAAAGATCTGGTCGCCAGATGCAAAGCAAGGGTCCGGATGAAGAAGCTCAGACATGGAAGTTACGTTTAACGTGGGAGGTCCCAACCTGATCTGGCCGGGACATCACAAAGCTCCATTCAGATGGCTGGCACGGGGCATCCCCCGTGCAGGGAAGACACGTTGCCCTCGTTGGCCACAAGCGGAACGAGGAGCCCAGGAGCCCAGGAGCCCGGTCACAGCTCACGGCTTGGACCAGGAGAAGGAGAGATACGCCAAGATCATATTTCCAGATTCGGGGCTTCGGTGGCCCGTGTTTGTTCTCCCCATATTTCGACGAGACCTCGGCATGTCCCAAAGTTGCTACTCTTTCATCTCCTCAACAAATTTCAAACCCGGGCCCCAAAGCTGCTAAAATATTTTAAGGAGCAAACCAGGTAGATGTCAACCACGGGCCTAGCATTTGTTTACCAAATCAGTCACCCAAGTAATGAAAACAACCCCCGGGAACCTGGCCAAAACAAAAACTGAAACCAACAAACCGTCATGACAACGCCGAAGCTCGGTTTCGAAACCGGTTTGCGGAACGGACTTGCCTGCAAATCAAACGGCTCACCGCAAGGCCTGTTGCTTCCGGTCAAGGGGATTGTGTCGGCCGCTTTGCTGGTCCCTTAGAGCCAGCCAGCCAGTGCCATCGACTTTTCCAAAAGCACACCTATTGTTGACCTTCTTTTGGGGGGAGGGGTGGGGGGGCCTTCAAGTTGAAGCTGAGCTTTTCAGTCGTCGTGAGGAACCAAAGTGAAATGCAGTGGCACCCATCTATTTTGAACCAAACTCACCTAAAAAGGACACCTATGGTCGGACAGTTTCTCTTAAAACTTCGGCACTCGAGCTAAAACGACCATCAGCCCGGCACCAGCGTGTTCATCAGCTGGGACATGACGTTCTTGGCGGCCTCCGCATCCTGAGGCTTTCAAAAAGGCGACAAAACAGAGAGCAATGTGCAAAGCAGGTATTCACCACTCCAAGGTTGCAAGGGCTGCTCGGCAATCCGTCCGTCAAAAAAGAACACCGCAGAAGATTGTAAAGAAAAGGCTAGTGCGTCACAGTTTCCAGTGCTAGTCCCAGGCAAGTAGGCTGGAATCAATCATTCAATTCCTTGTTGCCAAGACTGCCAAGATCGAAGACACACTTCAAGGAAAAGCACATGTTATTCGGCAAAGCTCCAATAAAACAACATGCCATATGTGACCAACTGGATCATTCTACTGTATCAACACAACTGAAAAGGCGATGTGGGACCTGCTAGTCACTGCCAGTCATGTGCTGCTCGGTTGCACCAACATGCGAGAAACAAACAAACACACTGATCTCACGGTGTCCCTGGTTTCAGTGGGGATTTAGCGCTTTTGGAGGGGAACACCCCCCATTTCGATAAGCAGCGGTGTCTTGATCCGGGGTCAACATCAGTACCACACCTTAGTGTCTAGCACATGTGAAAAAGGGAAACAACTGCACAACCATGAAACATGAGTGAAGCTTTTCGGTCACAGGGGGCAATGCGGCAAGAACGCAGGCGGTCTCTCGATGATGAGGGAGGGTTTCAAGACAGAGACATCAAGCATCCCCAGTATCAGGGATCCTCTCAACCAGCCAGGAGTGTTCCAGAATTGTCCCTTTGTGGATCCGAGCATTGGGATGAGAGCAAATGAGGCCAACTGAACCGGTTACCCACGTTCTCTCTCTCACCGTGCCTGCACTTCAAGTGCAGAGGCCATCGCGTAAAACGGCTTCGCCGCTGGAAGTTTCAGGGGGGTGTCTTCAAAATAGGACTACTAGAAATGGGTGTGGAAAGACAGGTACCCAAAATCGAACCCTGGTAGATGGAAACACAAGACACTAAGTCCTGCGGCTTTGTGGTGGTTTCATCTTGACCCATAGCCAAATGGCTCCGTTTCCCGTCAGCTTTTGTTTGGCTGAACCCTCAAGGGTTTCCTGAACTGAGACAGCGGTCACTGAAACATCTGGCGCCTCAAAGCCTTGCAGCTGCCATCCCCTGCGCGAGCGTGCCGCTTGAGCCGAGTGGCTCTCGGCTCATCACAGGTTTCTTGTGACAAAACAAGACTTGCTTTGCCAGGGCAATGCACCACCCTAATTACTCAATACCACTGGGCTGCCCTCAGATCTCCGCTAAAAGTGACTAACTTTTAGTGGGTTAAATGGAAACTACCACTAAACACAAGGCTAAAAAGCCAAGTTGAACCGGATGGCCTTTTGGAGCCACCAAGACCATGGAAGCATGCGCCAGCCATATTCACGATGCACGTCGTGCATCGTTGGCTTGCCGTTGACTGCGGCCCGTTCAAGCGACTTGCAGGGACAGTCAGAGTCGTCCTGAAACAAGCCTCCTTTTCTGGGTGATAGGTCTTAAAACATCAACATGATCTGTGCTGAGTTTGTGGGAACATCACTGGCATGGGCTATTGCAGCACCCATTTTTGCCGATCAAAATCAACTCCGTGAAACGTGGATGGCGCGCCCATCCCTTTGCGCGGCTTTAGGGCAGGGCCAATCGGTGCCCGCGAGCCCTCAAAGCCATGGAGTACGTTAACACGGCGCTGCGCAGGCTGCGGCGACGCCGACGCCTTTGCTATGGTCATCACATATCGGAAAAATCCGAAAGCTCCGCTGAGGGCTCGTTCAAAAAGGGTTGATGATCTTGGATACCGCACCCCAAGCAAGCTTGTGAGGATATTGAGGGTTGTTAGGGTTAGTAGGGTTTGGTGTGACCATGGCATTCAGAACTTCAACTTCAGCTCGATCTTCTTGTGTGTCAGCGGCATGCGGGGAGCGCTCGGCGCCGCTTCCTGACATCGAAGAAAGAGGCCATAAGGCCATTACTGACACGGAGAATGAGGGGGAACAGGCTCAAACAAGCCCGTCACATAGGATCTAAGAAGCTATACTAGCCCAAGAGCCATCTCCAGAAACTGGGACCCAAGCAAGCAACCCCGGGGCCCCTTGACAACCAACGACAGAACGATACTTGTGAACCTGGCCACGGTCGCTTTCAGAATTTGGAACCAACACACATTTCTCATTGCCCCATTGTGCGGGCCTTTGATGTGCTCCCCAAGCTCAAGCAAACGCTCATGCATATTTCGTGTGAGAGTACCAAGGACAACCTCGTCCGGTTCTCTGAATGGCGAAACGCGAAAGCCAGGCGCAATCTTCCCGACGAATCTTCCGGTGCGGCTTTGTCAGACATGGAGCTGTGGCCATCGCATTCGGGCAACTGATTTTTGAGGGGCCTGCGCCATTTTCCCTCGCAAACCGAAGGGCCGAAAACTTGGGTTGACGTGGAAAGGGGAGCAACAAATTAGATGTTAGCAGTTAAGTGGGGATTTCATCCACTAAACCACAGTAATCAATAAGCAAACATGTATATATATATATATATATATTTATATAGAAACAACAACCATGAAAACGCGTTGTTCGCGGAGTCCGCGACTTCCCGGCCCGGTGTGAACAACCCCCGGTCCCACTCCCGAGGCCCGCGCTACTCTTCCAGCCCCGCTGACATGTGCCTGGCGGGGGGAAATTTTTCCCGCCGAGGTCTGCCCCCTGGGCTCGTGAAGTGCTGGGCAGTGCGTCGCGACCCGCAAACCCCCCCCTCCAGAAGTGTTTTTCTTGGGCTGGGGGAGATGCCACGAGTCAGTTGGATCGCCTTAGCCTCCCAGCCGGGACCCAATACCGGCATCCAAGGGTGGGGGTTGGGATTGGGGTGGGGGCTTCGCTCTCAAAGTCCACCGGCCGCGCCCGCAGCAGTTCCTGCACCGTGCGTTGGCCTAGGCAGGGGGGGTCTTTCCAGGGGGTGGGGGGCTGGGGGAAAAAAAAAAAAACGAGGAGACATAGACCAACGAGAGAAGGGACACCTGGAGCTTACTCAAAAAAAATATCAAAATGGAAATCAATGGTTGGAAAGGGAAATGACAGGAAGCCAACCAGTTTAGGGGAACCCTATTTGGAGAAACACCCGTATGGAACCAGTCAGCCCCATGATGTTTCGTGAAAACGGGTATGACAACGTAACCTCAGCTAGGCTTATAATCCCAAATTTAGAACCAGAACCACACAGAAGCGGCCAAGTGCTTGCAGATTCACATGCAGCTGTCTTGTCCAAAAGATGACAAGCCCCAGGCAAATCAGAACGAGCTCACCTGATAAAGGGCCCTCACTTGGGAGTCGTAATTTCACTCGCTGCAGCCACCCGGCGCCCGGGCTCTTCGGGTGTGTTGTTACTTTTGCTCAGGTTACCAGTGGCGTCGGGGAAGATGTGGGGTGGGGCGGGCTGTGGGTTGGGGTGGTGATGCTCACAGTTCTGCTGCGGGCGCGCGGACCGAGCACGAGTTCTGGGGGCTATGGTTGAACCCAGAACTTCCTCGGCCATTAAATCCGCCGACCCCTTCTCCTCAAAGGGGGAGGCGTACGGGAAGGGCGGTTACAAGTCCAAGCCTGGCTGGTAAATGCGCATAACCGAAGATTCAACATCATCATCATCATCATCATCATCATCATCATCATCATCATCATCATCAGCGTGGTGGTCCTCGCCGCTGTCCTTATCTTGATTATCATGATGACTGCTGGTGATGCTGAGGATGCGTCATGATGATTATCATGTCAGTTCATCATCATAATCATCAGCATCATCATCACGGTGCTCATCCTCCTCATCTTCTTCGTCATCATCCTTATCTTTTTTATATACGTTTCAAGTGTCCCGTTAGACCCGATTGGAGATGCAGAAGATGCGTGGACATGATTATCATGATGACTGCTGGTGATGCTGAGGATGAGT